TAGGCTGCTGGTGTCTCTTCCACACAGCCGTGAACGATCAACTTTAAGGGAGGCTGATAGTTTTCCGCATTGGGGAGGAGGACCGGGCCAACCTAATCGCCAGGGGAGGAAGACACAGTTATGGGTTTTCCCTCTCTAAAGATGAGGGTCAGCGATCCTGCCTAACCAGAGGTGGTGAGTACGACAATACATCAGGTTCAGGCTGCTAGTTCTCTTCACAAAAGAGCTTCCCTGTTATTCCAAAATCAACTCCAATTTCAGAGTCAGTGAAATATCACACTTGACAAAAAACTGAATTGGAGCAAACATATCCAACTCAAAGCCGAAAAAGCAAATAGAGCGTTCTGGCGACGTCACCGCGCAATTGGCAGACTGTGGGGAATCCCCGAACGCTGTCCTGTGGCTCTACACTGCCTTCTGCTCCCATAGCCGTCATGGAAGCCCCTCTGGGTTTGCCTCCACTAGATCTCTACGTGAGAGAGCAGGCCATACTGGCATCCCTGCGTCTTAAATCTATAGTACTAGCGGTATAGTACTAGCGGTATACCAAAAGATACTGCATTTTCTTATACCAAGGTGCCACTTGGTACAGCTGTTCCTTAGAGCCATTTAGACGATTTGGCCCGAAGAACACTTGACATTTTCCGTGTGGGTAGATTTTAGAGGGGGTGGGGGTGATTTATTGTAACATTTTTTTAAAAACTAAATATGGCCTAGAGACGAGATCTGGGTGTCGATTTCGTATGATTTTAACCCGAGGAATCCAATGGTAGCGCCAGAAATGTAATCCGGATACAGGAAGTCCGTGAAAAGCCGCCATTTTTAGAAAATGACAGACTTTTGATCGAATTATATTTCTAAGGCACACCGGGTCGTGTAAGGTGTCTAGACTTATGTTTTTGGGGTCAGGGAATTCATTTATGATAATAAAAATAACCTACTGGCATCGGAACTGCATGACAGGCTTCCCTACTGCACTTTTTGAGGCGTCGCACGCGGTGAAACCCAAGATATTCCAAAGTTTTAATACCTATATAAATTTGTAATATTTTATTTAATAAAAATACACATTAACAAAACATAAAATATATTAAAACATGGGGTAAAAAATATATAAGCCTATGAAGGATCACCAAGTACATCGCTGACCTCTCTGAGATTGCGTTATCACCACTGAAAAGGAATTTCACATACCGGGTGAATATTTTAAAACCGAACGTAGGAAATTAACATGCGAAAAACGTTTTTTGCCGATCGTTGCTCCCCATGTTAACTTAGAGGGTTTGTAATGACACCAATCAAAAGAAGATTTTTTTTCTCATCTAATGATATACGAATTAGCTTATTTTCAGGTGTATTTCTCATTATTTTATCAAAAATTCGGCAATAAATCCAATTAGCAAAATCATGTTAAGCCATGGAAATTTCTAACGAATTGAAATAGGTTTTCACATGCACGGAAAACAAATATCGCGTACTAGAGTAAATATTTCCGCTGTAAACGTTGTTTATTATAAATACTTTTTCCTCAGTGAACCACATTTTACAAAAAAATTAATGCCAGGTGTCATAAACTGATATTGATTTCGACGTTTGAATCTGCTTTTTGTCTTAGTCATGGCTAAACATGATTTTGGTAAGTGGATTTCTCGAGTTTTTGATAATATAGTGAGAAATACACCTGAAAATGAACTAATTCGTATATCATTAGACGAGGAAAAAAATCTTCTTTCGATTGGTGTCATGATCAACCCTCTAAGTTAACATGGGGAGCAACTATCTACAAAAACCCCTTTTCCCATGTTAATTCCCTATGTTCGTTTTGGGAATATTCACTCGGTATAAATATTAAAGGTTCGGTAGTAAATTAGGTATATCCGAAAGTTTACAATATTCTTACCCTTTGTTTGAGCAATCTCCCATACATTTTTGGCATGCAGGGGAACATGGCAATCCGTGTCGCCGGCAGTTGCACCGAAGGGTCTCGCAGCCTGTAGCGCAGCCACACCTGTCCAGAGCACGGACTGCCTTCCATACTTGTGGCAGCTTGGACTACAGAACCTTCCAGCCTTTGGCTTCAAGAGTCCATCCCCATCCTTCTGGACTTGTAGAGCTTCTCATCACCTGGTTTGCACATTCCCAGATATGGCCAGCGACATACGCCGCCCTCCTTATGTGCTCCTCCACCTCTTGCTGCGGCGACACGGATTACCATGTTCCCCTGCATGCCAAAAATGTATGGGAGATTGCTCAAACAAAGGGTAAGAATATTGTATACTTTCGATATAATTTACTACCGAACCTTTAATATTTACCTATATGTAAAATTCCTTTTCAGTGGTGATAACGCAATCTCAGAGGAGGTCAGCGATGTACTTGGTGATTCTTCATAGGCTTATACATTTTTTACCCCATGTTTTAATATATCTTATGTTTTGTTAATGTGTATTTTTATTAAATAAAATAATATAAGTTTATATATTAAAACTTTGGAATATCTTGGGTTTCACTGCGTGCAACGTCTTCAAAAAGTGCAGTAGGGAAGCCTCTCATGCAGTTCCGATGCCAGTAGGTTATTTTTGTTATCATAAATGAATTCCCTGACCCCAAAAACAGAAGTCTAGACACTTTACACGACCCGGTGTGCCTTAAAAATATAATTCGATCAAAAGTCTGTCATTTTCTAAAAATGGCGGCTTTTCACGGACTTCCGGTATCCGGATTACATTTCTGGCGCTACCATTGGATTCCTCGGGTTAAAATCATACGAAATCGACCCCCAGATCTCGTCTCTAGGCCATATTTAGTTTTTAAAAAAATGTTACAATAAATCACCCCCAACCCCTCTAAAATCTACCCACACGGAAAATGTCAAGTGTTCTTCGGGTCAAATCGTTTAAATGGCTCTAAGGAACAACTGTACCAAGTGGCACCTTGGTATAAAAAAATGCAGTATCTTTCAATAATTTCCGTTATACCGCTAGTACTAACTGTACCTATTAGACATTCTCACTAATTAATGAAAGTGCAGATTCTAGTATGGATCATGTATGGATGACATATTTTTTCGAAAAATGAACATGATATAGTTGCAGTTAGCTACCTAATAGTAACAGCATTGAGACATGAAATTGTGAGAAACAATTCTAGGAATGTTAGTACTTGGTTTCCGTTTGGCGTTGAAAAGGTAGTTTTGTGAAAAAAGCATTCGATAGACGGTACAAAAGGGTGTTTATGCAACGCGGTTGTAGTATGAAAAAATAGATTTACCTTGTCTAACCAATCGTATTTTGATGTATTTGATCTCTCATTTCTGCATTTTCACATCGCTCTAGATGTGCACCTCATAAAGCAGTGGGTTCAATTTAGGCACATCTAGGTAAATGTACCTAAGCGATAATCCAATACCCAGTCTTCTTAGATAGGATCATTAGAAAAATAATAGTACATTATATATCAAGAAGTCCACTATTATTGACTGAGCACCAAGATTACATCTCGAGGCGCTTGCGCCGAGGGGTGTAAGGTGCGAAGGCAATAATAGACTTCTCTACCGTGGTTATATATACTATTTTTTCACTACTAGCACTTGAAGTCCTCTAAATTAACATATTATATTGATAAGAAAGTGAACGGTTGGACAGAATTGTTTGTTTCTTAATTTAACATGTCAATCAAGTACGTGGAAATACAAGTCAAACAGGCCGTATTTTGTTCTGTCATTGAGATTTTTCAAAGAGTAATTTCGTTCGAATTTTTTCAAAATGTGATAATTTTAGGTATGTAATTTCTCTGGAAATTGCGAATGGTGGCAATTATTCATTTTAGAGAACTTGTCTAAACGTTCATTGAGCGAAATTTCGGGTTGTGTTTTCTAAAAGTGACAGCGTGACAGTTCTCATTATTGACTACTAGTTAATAATAAAAAATTATTAACCACTTTGAACAAATGCCGAGAAAGCCTACTTTAGAAGTGGAAAAAAGGTTAATAATCATGTCATCGGACGCTAGTAGTGAAAAAATCAATTTATATTGTATTTGCCATGAGATTTTAGGTCATTATCAAGTTTAGATATAGCTATCTACACAATGATTTACTAGTATCACAGATTTAAATATACTAAAGTATGTACCTCTATTGAATCACACTGGTTTAATCAGGTAAATATCACTCGTCTCTTTGGCCCTTGTATACTTTTATTACTTCTACAGATAATGGGTAAGTTACCTTGTCAGCTTCTGCGATGTCAGCAATTTTTTTGCCTGTTGCAGGATTGAGAACTGGAAAAGTTTTCTTACTAACAGCATCCACAAACTCGTTATTTATAAATAACTAAAAATAAAGTCATTGATCACACAATCCCTTTTTTCGAATGGTCTTACCTTGGTGTATTTGATGGGCGGATTCGATTTATGAGCCATTGTAGAATGTGTTTCCAGTCACTTCTATTACAAAGTACCTAGTTCCCAAATATTTATCGGTCCTTTAAATTCGTTCGAATATCATATCTCACGATATGATAGTAGAGGGGGTCGAATTATCAAAAGTCATGAATGTCACTTCAATTAAAGTGGTAGGTTCGAGTGTATCTAATTTAGGATAACTTCTTCAAATCTAGTAGTTAAAGGAATTCAAAGCAAGCTCTGGAAAGGTAAACGTAAATTTATCTCAGGAGCTACAGGAGATACCTACAGTTTCACTATGCATCCTCATCATCATAGCATTACAAAACTTTAGATCGGGTTTTACGAAACTTAAATGCAATCTATTGACCAATAATTAATTTAACAATTTTAATTCTGGAAAAAAGAAATCTTCAATCTACCACTCACTCAACGCTGAGAATCGGCGTCCTACCTGTATGCCAAATTTCAACATTTTTACACTTTTAAAAATAGTTATGTAGTGCACACGAACGGACGGACGGACAGACAGACAACAATACAAAACTATAAAGGATCTGAGGACCCCGAGGAGGATCCTTAATAAAACCCATGGATTTCCAATTCATTAGTTTTAATCAGTAGGTTTTACATTATAAAACATACATTTAGAGAAAATGGTGTGATAAACGCGAGGATAAACGATTACACTTTTATTGATACGGTTTTCAATTCTAAGTACTCTTTGAGTCCTTCTTCTCCCCTGTAACAAACAGACAAAATGTTAGCATTAAAAAGACGTGAAAGAGATTCGGTTTGAGGTAGCGACAGTAAATGAACATAGTAAAAGAGTTGCTACAACAATGCAACTAATTTTTCATTATGTGTCCCCTTATTATAGTAACCCTGGTAAAAATTAACTTACAACTCTCTTCCTATTCCAGATTGTTTAAATCCTCCGAATGGCGCCTGGGGTGAGAAAGCGTGGTAACAGTTAACCCTACAAACAAAAATACAAAAATTATAGTATTTTCAAGTATTCTTTAGCTTTACATAAGATACTTACCACACAGATCCAGCTCTCACGGATTTGGCGTAAGCAAGAGCAGTTGTAATGTTGTTTGTCAATCCTCCCGCCGCTAAACCGTAGGTCGTATCATTAGCTCTTTTAATAACTTCTTCCAAGGTCTCAAACTTTAAAATGCTTTGTACTGGACCAAAAATCTAAAAATCACGTTTATAAAAGGAGTTTTAGTGTTTGAAAATAAACCTCTTCTCTTGCAATTGTCATGTCGTCTTTAACATCGGAAAATACGGTTGGTTCAACAAAGTAGCCTTCATTTCCTTTGCGACAACCTCCGGTTTGAAGATGAGCACCTTCCTTTTTTCCACTTTCTATCAGTCTTAAAACTTTATCAAGCATCTCTTGATTTACCTACACAACATTAAATATACTTAACGCATTCGGTTATTGAAGTAGGAGTACCTGAGGACCTTGCACGGTATCTTCAGCGAATGGATCACCTACTTTCGTACGCTTTGCCTTTTCTGCAGCTTTCTTAACAAATTCATCATAAATACCAGCCTGCACGTATGTGCGTGATCCCGCGCAACAATTTTGTCCATGGTTAGAGAAACATGCTCCATAAGCAATTTCAACAGCCCTATCAACTAAAAGTTCAGATAGAAGTAATAATAGGTATATTATAACGCGAGCACTTTTACCATCTACATCATCAAATATAACAAGAGGACTCTTTCCTCCAAGTTCAAGTGACACGCGCTTCAGATTGCTTTGACCAACACCTTCCATAATTTTGTTGCCAACCTATTTTAGACATATTTCATTACTTTGGCGATTTTTTTAAATATCATACTTCAGTAGATCCAGTAAAAGCAACTTTATTAATGCCTGGATGTTGAACAATCGCACCGCCTGCGGTTGGCCCATATCCTGGAAGTACATTTACTACTCCTTTTGGAAATCCAGCCTCCTTTGCCAATGCAGCGAGTACGAGAGCTGTCAAAGGTGTTTGTTCAGCTGGCTTGAGAACAACCGTGCATCCCGTGGCCAAGGCTGGCGCCCATTTCCACGCCACCATCCCAAGAGGATAATTCCACGGAATTATCTGTCCAACAACACCCACTGGTTCTTTAATTGTCATGGTCATAAAATTGCCATCTGCAGAAAAGAGCTTATAAATCGAACTAAGCGATCAATGAGAATGTTACCAGAGGGAATTGTACTTCCGTGAATTTTATCGCAGTATCCTGCGTAATACTTCAGCACATCAATAGAAAATCCCACATCGTGAAGTGCGTTTTTGTAGGTTTTACCATTGTCCAACGACTCTAAGGCAGCTAAATACTCCTTGTCGCGTTTCATTAGGTCCGCAAGCTTGGAAAATAAATTTGTACATTTCCACAGTAACTTAACTGTGTTGATAATAATACCTTCAGTATCAGTTCACCTCTTGAAGCCGGCGACATAGTTCTCCATTCGGAATTGCGTTCAAAGGCTGCTTTGGCAGCTGCGACTGCTTTATTGACATCTTCCTGAAATTTAAGTATGGTTACAATCTTCGATCTCATAATGGTACAAACCGGCGCAGATTAAGTAGGTTTTGAATTTACTATTTTAAAGTTATTGGAGTATACAAAATAGCTACTTATATGTCAAGTACGTAAGCAAGGGCTTTACGGGTGAGCTTTATATTATACGCAAAAGAGATTTAGGTTCTTTTTTTATCAAACGAGGTTGAACAAGACGAGTTAAATACAATCCTAAATTTGTAAGAAAAGCAATCGTCCTTATTTTAGGTACCTACATACTACGAGTTGGGTGTGTTCTAATCTTATACAAGGCAGTGATTTTATGCAAATGCATGATTTAAATTAGTAATATCATAGTGTAAGAATAGAATTACACTAAGGTAATATGTAAGGCGTGTGCTTTTGGATCAGTGCTGATCAATCGGAATCAAGTTCAATTAATCCAATTAATTTTTGCAGATTTTGCATATTTCGGGACCCTTTGTGCATAAAATATTATCAAGACCATATTTAAGCGGTTTTTTGCTGGCTTATTATAAACTTGCAAAGCAAGAAACTTTTGTGTTTTCTTGTTCACCCGCCGACAACACGATTGTGGGTGTGGGTAGCATGCAAGTTTTTAAAGTACACAGACCCTGGGAGGTATTTATGCTAAGATTGCCGCAATTATTAGTTTTCTTTGGAGTTTCACGTTAAATTAGGTGCAAGTTAAAATGCCAAAAAGACAGATCTTTAGTTAATTTATGGATAAAGGATTTTCCGAAACTTAAACAACTTATGGCCGTTTGCACAAAGTTAAACCGAGCTTAGCTTATAAGTATAGCTTATTAATTGTAACCATTGTCGCAATAATCGTTGCCAAACGGCCATTAAACTACACAACGATGATATTTTTAGTAAATACCTACTGCAGCTTGAAAGTTTCATAAGTGGCGCGTTTAACGCACGAGTTCAAGTTTAGAAAACGAGCCGCTCGCTGTACGAGTGCGATGGGGCGTTTTATGAAACAAGTTTCTTATACTATTTTTTCTATTGAGAAGATATTTTCGAAAATGTTTTATCAAAATGATGTTATAGTAACTTTTTGTAACTAGGGAATTTTGATATAGAAGTTGTATTAGTACAGGTTGTATTAAGTTGGCAGTACGACGTCCAAAATATTTCACTTATTTAAATACAGTCTCATCAATTTTGTTTTAATTAATAAACTTCAGAAATTAGTACATTAACTGTGGAACAATTCATAAAGGCAAAATACAGTCCTTCGTCCTTTTATATAAGTTATGTGAAATTCAGTCGTGTCACTGTCGATTAACGACAAAGCTAACAGCTAACAGATTTCGCCCATATGACACTGCTTCTACTTATACCTATTGGTGACTGACATAAAAAGAAAAACAAAGGTTTCTTTTCGCGATTTGCCATTAACGGTCACTAACGGATCGGTCCTTAGTGGGTTGTTGTTACGTGATAGGTGTCACTCATTAAGACGGGTTCGGTTTCGGATTGTCACTTCCTCTTAGGAGCATAACGATACTACACAAATCAGGCTCACGATATTAATAACGCAGAACAAGTGCTAAAAGCAATAAGCTGCTTCTTTTTTGAAAGATAGGTACACTCTATTCGTACTAGTAATCATTGGTCACAGATTGCACGTAGATGTTCAACGTGCTACAAAAAGAGGCATTGGGCCGTATGAATAAAAGTAAGCAAATGCTTCTACTTGAAAAATTCAAAGTAAATACTTGTAACTGCCCCTTCATACTGGTCTGTTTAGCATGGTTTAGCAGCGATGCACTGTGTCCTGTCCTTCTGCTTAGAAGCGCTGCTAAGTCGCCCAGTGCGAAGGAGCACTTACGAGTATTTACTTTGAATTTTGCAAGTATAAGCATTTGCTTACTTTTATTCATTCGGCCCATTAATCATTAAAGTAAAAATTTACCTCAAAGCTACATATCGTAATATTTAATTCCCTTTTGAGTTTTGGGAGAAAGTAATTAAGTAGTTTTTTCATATTGTTCTTCTTGTAATTTGATTAACACTTTATCAGCCTTACATGTCTCGCTTTTAATCAAATAGAAAGGGAATCTTGGACTTGTCTTTCTGTATATCAAAACATAACCCTAATTTGTAAACAAATACAATCGAATGTCAAATAGGGTAGTGAATTTAGGTTTTCCTCTTTAATACCAACTTAAAAACGATGCGTTAATAGGTCTCATTAACGCACTGTTTTGAGCGGAAAACAGTGCGTTAATAAGAACATTTAAAAATCGGAATAGAAAAAAACTTATGTCAACCTATAACAGGTGACGGATTAGTGTCTCTAGATTTGTTCAAAATTCGATTGTTATAAAATCATAGCAGTCTACTAAAAAGAAAATCCAAAAAAATAATATCAATTCAATGAAATGCGAATAACTCAAAAACTGTTAAAGATAGCTATAGGAACATGTAACATCAAAATATGTCAATTTCGATTCACCTATTTCACTTTCCCAGAAACGTTTAACTAAAGCTCCCAAAAAACACCCTGTATATGTGCATATTTCTACAAGTTGAAGTGCATATTATTTCTTGGCTTGCTTATAATTACACGTTTACAGTAGAAGATTGATAAAAAACATCTACTTGTGATTAACGTTAAAATCTAATAGTGGCGAAGACTAATTCCACAGCAGTTTCCCTTAAATAAAATTAATTTTGATTGGACTTTTCTTGCAGGTGTCGCAATACCAGGCCGCAGTTTTAGTTTGGCATTATGGACTAGTGCATATTAAATAATGCGAATTATTGTCGCTCATATTTTTAATTTTGGTATTATCAAACAGTAGCCAGGGCATAAAGTACGTTTTAATTTAGGTAACATATGTCGTTTAAAGATCGAGTACCTATCCTCCAAAAATATTCCTTTCGGTTTCGGAATATTTTTAATTTTTAATGTTTAATTCTACCTACTATTGCCACATATAGCAGTTACATTTTAATTTTCATGATTATGTTACAACAATATTTGAGATAAATTTTACCCTGGTAACCACTGAGTTGATAACAAATTAATTATTCTAAGTAATTGTTGTTTTTTCGGCCTTTAAATCACGTAGGCCATTATCCAAGCTAATGATATTAAATTTAGACAACAGTACAAAAAATTGAGGTTTGTGTGTTACGTCTTTGTTTGTTTATCATTCCTTTGATAATGGCCTACAGAATTTACAGGTCGAAACGCAGGCAATTTAAACAAACTAATTTGGGGAACTCTGTTGTTATTTTCATTCACTATAATATGAGAACCATGGATATTTACCCTCGTATTTCTATACGTGTGTTATTGTTCGACTCATTTTTGGCCTCTAAGAAATAGATAACCAATCAGTTACTAAGTTACGTAATTATCCCTCATTAAATGTAATATAGGGTTCATTAAACGATGTCTTTTTAAAAACGTGATTACACGTATATCGATAAATGTGGATTGAATTGAACTGTTGCAAACTCAACGAGTGTTCAGTAAATTGCACTTTCATGATGTGTGATGCAACGGTTGGTCATGGTGTCATTTATTCCTTGTGACCGAAAACTACACCTATTAGACATTCTCACTAATTAATGAAAGTGCAGATTCTAGTATGGATCATGTATGGATGACATATTTTTTCGTAAAATGAACATGATATAGTTGCAGTTAGCTACCTAATAATAACAGCATTGAGACATGAAATTTTGAGAAACAATTCTAGGAATGTTACTACTTAGTTTCCGTTTGGCGTTGAAAAGGTAGTTTTGAAAAAAAAAGCATTCGATAGACGGTACAAAAGGGTGTTTATGCAACGCGGTTGTAGTATGACAAAATAGATTTACCTTGTCTAACCAATCGTATTTTGATGTTTTTGATCTCTCATTTCTGTATTTTCACATCGCTTTAGATGTGCACCTCGTAAAGCAGTGGGTTCAATTTAGGCACATCTAGGTAAATGTACCTAAGCGATAATCCAATACCCAGTCTTAGATAGGATCATTAGAAAAATAAATCAATTTATATTGTAGGTATTTGCCATGAGACTTTAGGTCATTATCAAGTTTAGATATAGCAATATATACACAATCACAGATTTAAATATACTAAAGTTAAAGTATGTACCTCTATTGAATCACACTGGTTTAATCAGGTAAATATCACTCGTCTCTTTGGCCCTTGTATACTTTTATTACTTCTACAGATAATGGGTAAGTTACCTTGTCAGCTTCTGCGATGTCAGCAATTTTTTTGCCTGTTGCAGGATTGAGAACTGGAAAAGTTTTCTTACTAACAGCATCCACAAACTCGTTATTTATAAATAACTAAAAATAAAGTCATTGATCACACAATCCCTTTTTTCGAATGGTCTTACCTTGGTGTATTTGATGGGTGGATTCGATCTATGAGCCATTGTAGAATGTGTTTCAAGTCACTTCTATTACAAAGTAATCCCCAAATATTTATCGTTCCTTTAAATTCGTTCGATAACACTCACGATATGATAGTAGAGGGGGTCGAATTATCAAAAGTCACGAATGTCACTTCAATTAACTTACTGTGATCGTGATACGAAGTATACTACCTAAAGGTTTTTGCTGTCATCTTTTGCGAAAGCTGGTTCTGTAGTTAAAGCAAGCGCACCTTTCAAAATTTTTTGCTTTTAAAAACTAAAGCAATTCCTGCATAAAAAGTGAAGGAAAAGGTCTTGCTTCTGTAAAGTAAAAAGTTTTACGTTTTTCTTATTTATAAAAAAAAGAATTTGCTTACAATGTGAAGGACTTGCGTCTAATAAAAGTAATCTATAGGGTATAGCAATTATATTCTTATTTTATCATTAGTTGTCACGGTATCTCAGAGTCTGCATCTTAACATTTTTGCAATATCATGAATAATAATCTACTATGCGATCACAAATGAGTTGCTATCGAGTCACTTTTGGAATTATAATATACATGGGAAGTCGGCCTTATAGTCCGGGAGCCAGATGTTTTCATGACCAATAATAAGAAAGCTGAAAATTTGTAGTATGGTTCATTTAGTATTGCTAATAAACGTAGTGATCATCAGCTGGCCCAGTAGTGGTGGGTGTAGTCGCGGCAGCCATCCGAAGATGTATAATTATGATGAACAAAAACGAATACTAAGAAAGCTGAAATTTGAGGAAGTGATGGTCGACTTTAACAGTTTCACGAAATAAATCGTCCGCTGAGTTTTCCGCGGTGGAAAAGTGCTCAGCTGACCACTTAAAGATACGGCGTATCGCTATGCGCGCGGGAGTCTAGAATGATTAACTGCATCAGCTGACCACGTTTCCACTGCGAAAAGCTCAGCGGACATTTTTTTTCGTGTAACTGTTTCGAACGCCACTCATTTTTGATTGCCCGTTTATCTGTAAACATCTTTGGTTGTTTAGTCACAGTACCTATTGTGTTAGTTATGGCTAAAGCGGTGTATTTGCGTACAAGAAAATACTACCAAGACGTACATCTCGTGACTTGGATTTCAAAATGTCGTTTAGTCTAGTGTGTGGGTGGTAAATCCTAATGCTCACCCAAGCAAATCTTACACGAAGAAAAATTCGGTCGGGGCTTATCTTATAACTCAAACCGGGTATGTTACCAACAGTTCGAAGATGGTTAACAGGTTAACTGATAATATTTATTGTAAGCGTTTACATGCTGTTTATATCACAGATTTTCTTTCCTTAACCTATGTCAATTACGTTAGTATGCAGAAAATTCTGAATCCGTCATCCTCATCCCTGCCAACAATATGCTTAATATTCCTTTACTACCTTTGCAATTTATTTCCTGCTATTAAAAGTAGTGTATACTATTTCTTTATTATTCTGCATCTCTTTGTTATTCTTTGGTCTTTGCGGTGCTATTTCATTAATTTTGGCTGTCGCTTTAAATCTGTTCTAAATGAACATCTTAGGCCGCCGCGCCGGCAAGAAAGCAAATATGTTCTAAATGAACATTTACATTTAAGTAGGAAAATGTAGTGTGGTTGGTAAACCACTTTGTTGGCATGGATTTCGAAACGATCGAGCCTTGTCATCCGCGCGGTAAATGAAAATGTTTCTGCGGTATTGTGCGAACCCAGGATTTCAAAACGGAATTACTGAATAATACAGCCCACAGAGTCCAGAACATTTCACGAAGTGCTTGAGCGAATTGTACAACATATCAGGTTTATGTATATTATGCTCGACATAAGGGATGTCTCTTCGCTGCGAAGTTTTCGGCTTCGATAGAGACGGGGCCAGAGCAGAAGACGCCGAAGCACCGATCCTATTCTTCGCGGACACCGTCATTGTCACCTTCTTCCGAGGAAATGCGGCCGCCGCCGGTGTCTTCGGCTTCGACGACGGTTTCAACCGAAGCCAGGGGAGAGGCGGCCCTCTTGCGTTTCGGCGAGCCGGCCGCGACCTTCTTCTTTCCCTTTACTCCCGAACCGTCGGAGTGGCGCCAACTTTGAAGGATCCAGATGCGCTCTTTCCCTCCGTTTGGATTAAGGTGGCGGAGGTGACAGTCTGCGTGATGTACTCCTTTATGAAGGGCGCCATCTTCTTGGCGTCGGTCTTGTATGTTACGTACATACATCGTCACTTAGGTAGGTTCCTCTTGATCGTTTGAGGCGAGGATTCGCCGCGTTCCTTGAGAATCTTGGTTGACCACATCGACCGTCGGAGGATGAGACGGCTTTGAGCGGGCGCCCCCGTTTCGTGACAGACCACTTACGTCTTTATTAGGTATTGCTGAAAGTGTTAACGAAATCGCTAAAGTCCGTATCTTTTACTTCATTTTCTCTAAGCCTTTGCTTGTATTGTAAGGAAAAGGTAGAGATTATGAATACAAGACGAAAGTGGTAGTTAAATTTGAATAGTTTGCTCAAGTCGACAACAGAGTGCAAAACACTCAAATATAATTAAATATAAATTTGCGACCCCAGGATGAACGAAACATTGTCAAACATTGAAAAAAGAACAAGGCGCTATAATTATTCTTACACAATAATTGTAAATGTATAATTATTAATTTGTTATAAAAGTTAAGCAAACTTGTGGAATCGTTAAGTAATGTATAACAAATCTTTCATTAAGTTCGCAACCTTTTTTACTAAGAGTCACCTTCATTATTTATCATTTATTTATTTATACAATTATTGTAAGTCTTCGTACGAACTATTTCAAAAGTTATGCAAACTTTATGTATCGCACTCGTTACTTATAACCCTTTCGGATTTACACACAAATTTTAGAAGAATGGAGATACATCTAATACCTATATAAAAATCTCATATCACGGGTGTTTGTGGTTGCACTCTTAATGGATTGCGTTGAACTGCATTAATCTTGTATACCACAGATATACACCAATGACCAAACAGTCTATAAAGTATATGTCGTATACACCATATGCCATGGATTGTAAGCTAAGAAATATCAAAAAAACTTCGGGATAAAAGTTATCCAAAAACACTAAACTTTATCCACGGTGCCAATTTCAATTTTAGCCTTAACCATACTTTCCGTATAGCCCGAATGCTCGCGTAACAGCCCTTATTCGTTGGGTCTGATTTGGTAATGATTTTTTATTCATTGCATAGGTAGCTCAAAGGGTTTTCGAGAAAAAAGGCTGGTACGGGTAGGTGATCTGATACATCGTATAAAGGTAACGAAGCGAACATTTAAGGAAAAGTAGTGCATCGACAAATTTTTTAATGGTTCATATGTTGAGGATTGCACGATCTTTTATTATGTTCCCCTATAGTATTTGATTTTTTTTAGTAATATCAAGATTGATTTTTGATTGTTTATTACAATAGGTACATTTCGTAAAGTTTAAAGAAAACTATTTTTTAAAAAGTTACTACGACGCAGCAATCCTTTTCACCTGTAGCTTGCGGATCCTATACGACACACGTCACATTGACGACTGTTTCAATTTTATAATATCCACAAATAGATATTAATTGAAGTTTTTAATGGTGTACGTACGTACGTAGGTTGGGTTATGGGTATAACCATAGACCAAATACTGGTCTATGGTATAACGCTCCACTAATGCATATTGTGAGATTGTGGGTATGTTTTACACCTTAATAGATATGGTTTTCAACTCCAAGTACTCTTTGAGTCCTTCTTCTCCTCTGTAACAAAAGAACCAAAGATCAACGTCAATAAAAAATTACTTCGATACTTTGTCACTTAGTAAAGGCAATACACAATGATATAGCATGGGACAATTGGAACTGGAACTCGTCTTAGTCATGTCATTGAAAAAACTTTTTTTTGCTCATTGATCATGTGGTATAATAATAATAGTAAGAGTAATGACTAATGAGAAATAAATTACTCTGAACACTGCGAGGATAAGCAAATCCAAGGTCATGCTACAAACGCAATAGGTACACACCATGGTACACACGCAGAGAAATCTAAACAGGGATCAAAAGATATAACTACTAAATTTAATGAACATATTTTCAGCTAGATAAAATGTACGCAGTACGCAACGGATCGCTAGTGAATCTTTGGTAAATAAAAATTCCTTAGCTCTTTTCTTGAACACCCGAATTGATAGTTCAAATATACTTTGAGAGTAATGGTTACAAAAATAATTACAAAATTTTGGATTGAGAAACAAGAATGTTTTTTGAAAAAACGATTTAGTGACTTTAGGTAGACGCAGCAGTTTCTTAGAATATTGTCCAGTATTGTGGATTCCAGTACCCAGGTCAACTATTGTGCCAAAACCGCTACTCATCTAATAGAATAGATCAAGAACTTTGAATACATATACATAACGAAGGGGAAGCACACGAAGAGAAAGAAATAAGGGATGTAATCATTGAAAGCTTGCGTCAGTTCATGAGATTCATCGATACTCGATAGTCAAATTATTAATAAATCCTTAATCTTTTGTTTAGAACTACCAGTGTATGAATTAATGGTATCCATATTTTTTTGGATTATTAGAACTTATGATAGAAGAAAAGTAATTCCTTTTAACGATCTTAATCCAAGAATATTTAATCCAAGATTGAATATTTCAATATGATATGTAATTATGCGTCATTTTTGTACTCCGGTGCGTCAAATATATAAAACTATAGCACGGCTCCGATGACCACAATAGGTATTGCAATATTAATACTGCGCCTGGGTCCTGGGAGTACCATTTCGCACGCAAAAAACGTATGCGTATGATATTGTATAAGTTTACTAGCGATTCTATAAGATAAGTTTTTCAAAAGGATTTTGGGATATATAATTGCTTATTTAAGTAATGAATTTCGCGTTGTGCATATAACTATGTACTTAGATATGTTATGAAACTGTTTTAAAAAACACCATACCAAGCATTTTTTTTGTAAATTGCATCTAAATATAGGTACATAAAATTACTCACAACTCTCTTCCCATGCCAGATTGTTTAAATCCTCCGAATGGCGTCTGGGGTGAAATAGCGTCGTAGCAGTTAACCCTAGAAACACACCACTTACTTTGTTATTTACAATATATTCTCAAAGGAGATACCATACTGATCCAGCTCGTACCGATTTGGCATAGGCAAGGGCAGTGGTAATATCGTTTGTTAAAACTCCTGCGGCCAAGCCGTAG